GGGGTGGGGAGGGGCTGGGAGATGGGGAGACGCAGGGGTGGGGTTATCTCAGCTTCCCACCGCCTCCCCTCCGTCCAGCCTCATCCCCCTCTCCCCTGTTGTGGGGGCCCGTGGAGCCAGGAGGTGACCTACAGCAAGCAGGACTGAGTTAGACTGGGAGAAGGACTTGCATGGCCCGCTGAGGTCGGGGTCAGGGCTGTGGGCACGCCCGGCCCGCGGGGAGGGCAGCGGAGACGCCCGGGCAGGTATTTTTAGGCCTCACCGCAGATGAGTAATTCCCCTGACCGGGAGCCAAGGCTGGGGTTGGGGGTGAGGGACGAGAGGGAGGCGGCCGGCCTGCCCCAGGGGACACCCAGGTCACTGGGGTCACCTCCCCGGCTGGCAGGAGCCTACATCCTTGGGGAGGTCTCCGGTGGGGCCTGCGGCTACCTCTCCCCGCCACCCAGAGGCCCAGGCCACCCTGGCTTCTCCCTCCGGCTTAGCTGTCCCCAAGGACGAGAGCCCACGGGCCCCAATCCGCTTTAACTTCAGATTAAACGCTCCGGGTGACGGAGGCGGAGAAGCGCAGAGTGATGGGGAGACGCGGGGCAGCGGGGTGGACACCCGGGAGAGGACAGAGACCCAAATAAGAGAGACCGAGACCCCGAGGGGGGGCGGGCAGAGACTCCAGAGACCCCGAGAGGAGAGGGCAGTTGATAGAGATCTAGTGAGAGCCGGAAGCAGGGAGAGGACAGGGACTCAGAGATAACGGGGACAAGAGACCCAGAGAGAGGGGCCCAGAAGTCCAGCGAAAGGACGCGGAGAGAAGAGGGGTGAGCAGAGCCCCAGACGTGGGACAGGGGTTCGGAGGCCAAGAGAGAGGGGGTTCAGAGACCCCAGAGAGAGGGGAACACGCGGTCCCAGAGAAAAGAGACCGGACTGGAGCGGGGTGGGGCGGAAGGAGTGAACCAGATGATGGTGAGCCAGGCAGGACCAGGGACAGCGGCGCCGTCGGAGGCGGAGGAGGAAACCGGACACCTGGGGGGACCCCGCGATCCGCGGATCGCCCCCCGCCCACCTATGGGTGTGCGCCCGGGGGGGGGAGGAGAGAGGAGGAGCGCCCGCTGCGGCCCTGGCCGTCCTCCCCGCCCCCGGGACCCCCGCCCCGCTCACCGGTGCAGCCGCCCGAGGGCGCGACCCGCGAGCTTCCGAAACTCCTCCTTGTGGAACTGCATGGTGGCGGCCCCGGCGGCCCGAGCTCCCCGCCGACCCCCCGCCCGCGGGCCCGGGCGGCCGCGTCCGGGTCCCCGGGGTCCGCCCCGGCCCGGCCGGCCCCGCAGCTCCGCTCGGGGGGGAAGGAGGCAGCGAGTGCGGCTGCCGAGGGGCCGGCGCTGAACTCAGCACCGGGGGCGGGGCGAGGGGAGGCCCCGCCCGCCCAGACCCCGCCCCGCCTCCCACCGCCGGACCGCGGCCCGGGTGTGCGTTCCCTCCAGGGGCATCGCCCCAGTTCTGTCGCTGCTCAGAGTTACTCTCCCTGGCTGCTGCTGCTTCTTCTTTTTAAAAATATTTTATTGATTTTTTTTACAGAGAGGAAGGGGGAGGAATGGAGAGCTAGAAACATGAATGGGAGAGAAACATCCATCAGCTGCCTCCTGCACACCCCCGACTGGGGATGTGCCTGCAACCAAGGTGCATGCCCTTGACCGGAATCGAACCTGGGACCCTTGAGTCCGCAGGTTGACGCTCTATCCACTGAGCCAAACCGGCCAGGGCCCGCCCCTGGCTCCTTCTCTCTCTTCCCTGAGATGTGCCCCCAGCCCCGCCTCAGTTCCTTTCATCTCATCCCCGCGTTTTTCCCCCCTTCTGTTCCATCCCGCTGAGTGTCCTTCCGCGCTCCACCCTCAGTCTTGTCCCTCCTGGCTCCTGCACCCTCCAGCTGCACATCTCGCTCCCCGAATTCCATCCCCATCCTGCGTCATCACCCCGGGTTCCAGCATCCTCATTGAAAAGGATCTCTTCCTACGCGGGGAATTCTCCCCCCTGAATTCCCAATTCCCACGTTCCAACCCCCATTTTATATATGTAATTATTGATTTCAGAGAGGGAGAGAGAGAAACATCAATGCTGATCAGCTGCCGCCTGCACACCCCACACTGGGGATATGGAGCCTGCAACCTGGGCATGTGCCCTTGATCGGAATCGAACCTGGGACCCTTCAGTCCGCAGGCCGATGCTCTATCCACTGAGCCAAACTGGCCAGGGCTCCAACCCCCATTTTCACTCACCCCTTCTCCCCTCTGTTCTTCCCCATCCAGTTCCATCCACTTGTTTCCATCATTCCTCTTTCCCCATTCCCCTTCTGTTGTTTTTCCTTTGCCCGCACCCCGCTCCCAGGCCCTTGACCTCCCATTTCCTTCCCTCTGAGTTCCATCCCCGACCGTTATACCGCCCCCCACCCCCACCCCCCAGCAGTGGCCAGTTTCGCCCCGAATATTGATAGTTTAGTCCACATTTGGCATCGGTCCACTCACTCGGTTCTGGCTCCACCCCCGGAGCTCAGGCCCTTCCCTCTGGGATCTGCCCCGCCCCCCAATCCTTACTCCGCCCCTGACTTCCCGCCCCGCCCCTGGGGGTTGAACCCCGACTTGTCGTCGGTGTGCCCGGCCCCTTCCTCCACACCAGCCCCTCTCCCCGCCGCTGAGCCCATCTCGGATCCCGGCCCCAGGAGGGTGCTTCTTTCCCCGCCGCCTGCCTCTCCGCCTCGGGCCGCAAATGCATTCGGGATTAAATTTTCATGATGTGGCCCCGGCCCGCGGGGGGGGAGGACGGCCGGCGGGGCGGCCGGCGCCAGAGGCCCAGCGGCCCGCAGCCCCCGCCCGCCGCGGCCGCTCCAGGGGCGTCTGGGCCTCAGGGTTTGGCCGGAGTTTGAGGCCCCCCGGGTCCCCCGGGAGGAGGGAGGAGCAGCCCGCCGAGCCGTGCACACGCGCCCCCCTGTGGCGGCAGCAGGATCCTCGGCCGGGCGCGGAGGCGGCGGCGGCCGGGGCGCCGGGCCAGGTGCGAAGGTGGAGCAGATGGTGAGGAGGAGGGAGTGGGAAGACGGCCCAGCCGCTGCCAAATCCCGTGCCTTCGCCGGAACCATCACCATGGAGACAGAGGACGGCGGAAGGGACCCAGCCCCACACTTCTTAGGACTTAAGGATGTGTTCTCGGGCCCACGGAGAGTCCCCGTGAGAACTACAACTCCCGGCGGCCGCCGCGCCTCGGCTTGCTTCGGGAGGGCCGCCGGGAGTTGTAGTTCTGAGGGTGCGTTGCGCCATCTAGTGGACACGGCACCTACAGGAGCTTCTTCAGATGCTCATAAACCCTATCCCACCTTTCCCCCTTCTCACCAAGTCTCCCTCTGCCCACCCAATTCAACTCTTCCAGCCACACCGGACTCTTGACTGCTCTCCCAACTTACCACTGAGGTTCCATTTACTTATGCGCTTAGGACTATGGGAAAAGGAGAGGGCTTTGCCCATCACTTATTCAACAAATATTTGCTTTCCGAACAGGTGTTAGGCATTGTCACACCACAGGAGACACACTGGGTGTTGGGACTCCTGGGGATGGGGATGGGGGGGGGGGGGTTAGGGGGATTCTAACCCTGCCAGGGTAGATGGGAGAAAACTTGAAGGTTGAAAAGCTTTCCGGGGAAAGCTCAGAAAGGGGTGACTGGGTGGAGAGGCAGATAAGGATGGCAGGAGGGAGGGTAGCCCCTCAGGGGAATCAGCACTGGCCCAGTGGGGAAGGGAGAAAGTTTGGTGTGACCGACTTGAAGTACAATTCCAGAAATGGGCACTTGTCAGGACAGGGGGAGGAGAGGGCAGATGATGGTCTGGGTCGGATCACCAGGGGCTCTGGGAGCATCCCCTGTAAGGGAGAAGCTTCCCGGGTGAGGGGCAGGCGGTTAGAAGCTTCCCGGGTGTACCTGAGAGGAGGTACTAGGTAGGAGGGCAGTAAAACTAAGAAAAAGTTTCAGGTGAGAGCAAGAGGGCGGCGGAAGGGGCGGAGCGGGCAGAGGGAGCAGCTGAAACGAGTGGAATTCAGCCCGAATTCAGCGATGAGACGCAGCTGGTGAGATAGTTTGCACCCCGAAGGGCAGAGGTCCCCGGAGGGAAGGTGAGGTCACGGGTCTGAGCGGGAGGATCTGCCGAGCCTGTGTCCAAGGAGGCAGGGGAACCTACAGGGTCCGGGCCGCGTCCCTAAGGGCAGGCGAAGCATCCGTCTGTGAGAAGGTAAAAGGGGGGGGGGGTGCCCAAGGGGCTGCGGGAGGCCGGGGATTTTGGACCTTGGAGTCTGGGTTTTAGATCTGAGCAAACTCTGAAAGGCTAGCTGGATCGCGCAGTGCCGGCAAGAGAAAAAGTTTCAATAATGGTGTGGTCACGATACTCTTCGGTGTGACTAGGCAGGAAGGGGTCCAAATGAAGCCGGAAGGCCAGCCCGTGCCCTGGCTGGTGTGGCTCAGTCGGCTGGAGCACTGTCCTGTTCTCCAAAGGTGGCAGGCCTGATCCCGGTCAGGCACATACCTAGGCTCCCGTTTCCATCCCCGGCCGGGGCACGTAGGGAAGACAACCCGTGGATGTTCTCTCACATCGATGTTTCTCTCCCCCTCCCTCCCCTCCCCTCTCTCTGAAATCCGTAAGCATATCCTCCCATCAGGCCACACAGAGCTCGGATGCCAGGTTGGGGGGGCCTGGACCATCTCTCCCAGTGGCGATGGGGAGCCAGGGCGGGGTGTGAACAGGAGGGGGGCAGAGTCAGTTCTGGGACCCCAGGGGAGCCCGAGGGGAGGAAGCGGAGGCTGGGAGGGAGGGAGAGGACGAGCCGCTGCACAGTGACCCCTTTGGGCCACCAGGGATCCAACCCAAGGCCCCTCCCGCCCACTCCCCACGCATTCCCAGCCGGACAGAGGAAAGCAAACTCTTTTATTATTTCGGTTTCAGAGAAGCGATCCCCGTCTCCCCACCCGGGAGCCCGGGTCAGGAAGGCGCGGACAGCAGGGGCATGGCCACCATCAGCTGCTGAGGGAGGAAAGGGAGAGGGTTCAGGGCCCAGGAGGCAGGCCCCAGGCCTCCGGCCCCGCCCCCCCCCGCCTCCCCTCCCCGCCGGGTACCCTTCTCTTGCGATGGAAGGCCGCCCTGCTCTCCTCGGAGTTGATCCGCAGGGGGATGTAGGCGTCCAGATGGTACGGCTGCTGGGGGCCCCCCAGCACCAGGCGGCTCTCCCCGATCTCCAGCGACAGCCCCAGGGCTCCGTCCTGCAGACAGACTGGAATCAGCCCCCCCCCCCTTCCCCTTCCGGCGGCAGGACACGGGACACGGGACAGTGACGCAAACATGAGCCAGAGGGAGCAGGCTCCCGGGCTGGGAGACCTTTACCGGGAGGAGGTGGGGTTCGGTCACGGTCATTTCCGTCCGCCGTGTTGGGTCACTCACGGTGCCCTGGGGCAGCCCCGGAAGTGGGCAGCGGAGGGCAGCACTGACGGGCCGGCCACAAGCCCGGGTCTCTTTCCCTCCCACACCCCAGCCTCCTCCTCCGCTCAGGCCGGAGGCCACCCACCAGTTTGGGGAGGTCCATTTCCGCCAAAAGGAGGTCGGGGGCTTCCAGCCAGAGGCTCAGGTGCGGCTCCTCAGGGCTGAGGGGGGAACAAGAGCCAGGACTGAGGGGCGCCCGGCGGGCTGCTGCCCCTGCCCGGCACGCGGCTCCCTTCCCTTCCGGCCATCGCCAGCCCCGCGGCCCCGGGGTGGCCTCGCGGCCGAGTTCAGCCTCTCCTTCTGGGGTTCCCGGGGCCCAGGACACCGCCCGCGGGGAGACGGGGGAGGACGCCCCGGAAGCCCACCTGCCCTCGGGCCGCAGGGAGCCGGCGGTAAGCACGTTCCCCAGCTCCTGGATCGGAGGGCGCTGGCGGGAGCGGATGTTCTGCTGGGAGATGGAGCCCATGAAAGGCCGGTTCCTCAGCAGGCGCCACTCTGCAAGGGGGGGGGGGGTCAAGGTCACATGGTAAGGGTTTTCCTTCGCTGCACGAAGCGCCAGGGGGCGTTTAGCCTCGGGAGGGGAGAAGAGGGTGGAGGTGGCCAGGAACCTGACCACACCCCCAGGCTTGGCTTGTCCCCGCCTTCCCGGAGCGTCAGCCAATAGATCTGATCCTGGGGATGCTCCTGGCTCCCACGCTGTCCAGACCCCGCCCCTTGCTTAGATAACGGGCCAGGTCTGGCTCCACAAGCACAAACACACACACACACACACACACACCCCACCACACACCCCACACGCACCCCGCGCACCTTGGGGAGCCTCGCCCTTTCCCCGTTGGCCTCCCTCGCCCCGCCTCCCTCACCCGGAGCCAGCTGCAGGCTGTACTTGTCCTCCAGGCCCTCCCGGGCGATGGTGACCACCAGCTCTCGCAGGAAATCGCTGTTCTAGGACAGAGCGGGCAGCGGGCTGCGGGAGGGCTCCAGGCTAAGGGGGCGGCCCCCGCCCAGGCCTCACCCGCAGCCACGCCCCCAACCTGCATCCGCCGGTAGAAGTCGCTGTTGACAGCCACGTCGTAGGCGGTACAGCCCTGGCCTTCTGCGAGAGAGAAAGGGGTGAGGCCCCCAGCCCTGCGGGCAGCCCCGCCGCTCAGACGGGCACGGAGAGACCCAGAGACCATTAGGGCTCACGCTCACTGAACGCACACCGCCTCCAGGCCCTGTCCCTCTGCTCCCTCCCCACTGTGTCCCACAGCCCCACCCGCCTCCTCCTGCTCACAGCCCTCCACACGCCCTTCAGCCTGGCACTGGGGGCCCTGTCTGCCCCTCCCACCTGGAGAGAAAAAACCCTCACTTCTATAGCGTCCTCCTCCCTGCAAAGTCCTCCCATCCCTCCCAATTACTGACCGATCCAGCTCAATCCTTTCTGGCCTCCTCGGGACCCCAGCCTGAACCCTCCGCCCAGAACCTTCTCTGTCTTGACCTGATGAACTCCTCCGGTTCCTTCTCATCTTCAATTGGACATTTCCTCCTCCAGAAAGCCCTCCCTGACCCTGACCCTGACCCTTCAATGTGGCCAAGCGCCCCGTCCGGCACAGCAAGAATCACGCAATATTAAAACCCCAAGTTCTGGGTTTGATTAGTCCCCACTCCCCGGGGCACCACCCAAAACGTGGTCCCGGGAGGCTTGAAAAAGCAAGGACATAGAGACAGAAATGCTACAGAGACAGAGGTGAGACAGGCAGAGAGACAGAGACAGGGGAGAGGGTGGAGAAAACCCCTCCCCTCTGGGACACCGCCCGTTGGGGAGACAGGCGAGGGGGAGCCGTGGATGAGGGGGAGAGCTGGCCTGGGCCCAGATCCAGAAGATTGGCTAACAAAGCCGGTCCTCGCCCCGGAGGGAAGCGAAGAGAAGTGCCAGCGGGGCCAGGTGGGCAGAACCAGGATGCCCCATGCGGCCGCTGCAGCAGGCCCAGGAGGCTAGGGGTACCCCTGGGGGAGGGGGTCTCTAGGTCCTTCCGGAGGACAGACCTGGGCCCTGGGTTCTGGGGTCCTGGGCAAGGAAGGGCCTGGGGGCCAGGGGCCTGGGTCCTCCGAGGGTACTGACTTGCATCGAGTTCGGCATGAGGCTCCCCCAGACTCATGGGGATGCGAAACCCGGCTTGGTCCTCCTCCAGCATCTGAAGCAGCTGGTCCTCGGTCATGTCGGCGGGAGGAGGGATGGAGGGAGAGTGACAGATGTTGATGAAAACCTTCCCTTCCGATGAGTTGGTCTTCACGCAGAAGCCTGGTGGGAACGGGTTGGTCCTGACCATGTCTCCATGTGGGTGCTGATCTCCATCAGTCCTCTCCCCAGCCTGTCCTTCTTTCGGTCTGTCCCCTTCCTTGAGTCTCAGTCCTCCACTTTCTGGTTCTGTCCCCCTCCCCATGCCTGGGACCTCTGACTCTCTTTCCATTCATCTTGGAGTCTCTGTCCCTCTAGTCACTGCCATCCACCCCCTCCTCTCTTTGGATCTCCCTCTGGGACTGTTCACCTCCGTGCTTCTAAAGTCTCTTATTCTGTCCCTTCCCTCCCTCCTGTGTCCTTTGACCCCCATCCCGTCTCTCTCCACTTCTCCCTGGGAATCTCTCACTCTCCTTGGGTTTCTGCCTTCCTCACCTGGTTGGGGTTGGATCTGTGTTGATTCTGGTCTGCTCGTCTGGGCCTGCTGCAGCTCCTTGGAGGCCTGCGTGAAGGAAAATGGCTCAGACCCGCATTTGTTGCTCAAATGTTTACTGAGCAATGTCTACGGATATGAGCCACGCAGGGAATAAGACGTATTATGTCCCTTTCCTCCTGTGAGGAACCCAAAGAACAACTCCAGTCTTACTCCCATTTATTCCAGAGCCTAACAAATTTGGAGTTAATCAACTACAATTCCCATAAGCCCTGTTGCCTCTCCAATGCATTCTGGGAACTGCAAGCCCATCTCAGGGAATAAAAAAATAATAATAATAAAAAAAGAATCCCCCAAATAACCAGGGACACAGGAGTCCTGGCCAGTGCGCACCTGCAGCAGCAGCTCCTGGAAACGTGCCGTGTCAGCGCCCATTTCCTCCGCCTCGTTCAGCTCCGGCACCAGCAGCTTCAAGTCCGCCATGACCCCGGGGAAGAGACCTAGGCGTCCCCAGCAACCCCGACGTGGGGGAGCCTTTGCTGGGCTCTGAACTCTGGGGCCTGCTTCCCGGGCCCTCAACAGAATCCGACAGCCGCCGCTGTATATGACAATCGAGGAATCTGGCCGGAGGCTGCAATTCCACTCAGATCACATATCGTCGTCAAATCTGTTGAGGGACAACATCTCTAGATGCTCTCTAGGTCCAACAACACGCCAAGTGTTTAAGGGACATCCACGCTTCCGGTTTCTGTGCAACAGAAATTTGAGTTCGCCACACTTCCGGCTCCCTCAACGCTCGTTCTAACCAGCAACAGCGCTACTGACCAATCATAGTCTAAGCGCGAGGCCACGCCTCTCGCCTCAACCAATCAAAACTAGATTCTGAGGCCGAGTCCCTTAATGCCACACTTCCGCTGTCGATTAAAGGCACACTTTCCCCTCCTTCCCGACAACCGCCTCAGGCCCGGTTACGGGACAGTTAAACCCTAATTTCAGTGTCCACCCTAAGATTCCCTTCTGGTCTCAGGATCATCGCTTCGCCCCGGAGCCAGATCCGATTCTCTAGGAAATGTATTTCGGGCCGGAAGCTGCCCTTCTGTGAACAGGGTGGTGGAAAGACACACACCCATACGGCCACCCTCCTAAATCCGGAACTCTCCTCTATTTGCAGGACACACACTATTTCTCCTTTTCCGTGTCCCCCCGACTCTGAGGACTGCGCATGCGCCAAGCTGCGTGGGCGGGGTCGCCGGGTCCTAAGGTTGGGTCACGCTCTATCTCCCGCGGCCCGCCCTTTGCTCTGGAGGGGGCGGTCCCGCCCTTCGGACCTCGAGGTTCACTCGGGTAGAGCGCCCGGCAGTCGGTTGGAAAGCGGTCTGGACGGGGGATGGCCGCCACGCGCGCAGAGAACCGCGCCCGAAAGATATTCGCCACGATGGAGTACGGACCCGCGCCGGAGAGCCACGCATGCGCGCTGGTGAGGGCTCGCGGGCCGGCGCTGTCCCTCCCCCTCCCTTTCCCCCTCCCGCGCGGGTGCTGCGCGCTGACTCCCGTGATGCACCGCGCCAGCCCCGAGGCTCCGCCCCTCTTTGCTCCCGCGATTCCCGCCGCCCCCGGAATGGCTCCCTGGAGCTTTGGCGGGGTTTCTCTCAGCCCTTTCGCGGGTTCTCTTGCCCAACGACCCGAGCTCGCGGCGGTGTTTCCCGGGTTCCTCAGACCCGGGTGCCCCGCCCGGTACTTCGGAGCCAATTCAGAGCTTCCTGGGTGGCTCCCTTGACCTTCCAAGGAACCTCTGAACCCCGGTACATTTCCCAGGATTCCTCGGAAGCTCCTGGGCCTCCCATGGTCCTCCGGGGCACCCCCAGAGTTCCCTGGGGGCTCCCTGAATACCTCACTCGGACCCTCCGTGGGGTCCCCGGGAAGCCTCAGGCTCCTCTGTGCTACTGTGGCTTCTGTGATCTCGGGAACTCTCCGAACCCCAGAATACACCAGAAAACTCCTAATTGTCAGCATGCCCTCATGGGCCCCCCGTGACCCCTCACCACCTCTCAGGATGTCGCGTGGGCTCACCATGAGTCCTGGTGGTGCCCTGACCGGTGTGGCTCAGTGGATAGAGCGTCGGCCTGCGGACTGAAAGGTCCCAGGTTCGATTCCGGTGAAGGGCATGTACCTTGGTGCGGGCACATCCCTAGTAGGGGGTGTGCGGGAGGTAGCTGATCCATGTTTCTCTCTCATTGATGTTTCTGACTCTGTCCTTCTCTCTTCCTCTCTGTAAAAACTCAATAGAATATAGTAAAAAAAAAAAAAAAAAAAAAAAAAAAAAAAAAGAAAAGGAATTGGGACAGTGAACAGAGAATCCCCACCCGGAGGTCAGAAGTGGAATGTTTGTGGAATGGCAATGTGCCAACAGCTTCTGTTCATTGGAACCAATTCAGAACTTTCTGGGTGGAAAGATACAAACCAAGCCACCCTCGGTGCTCAGCGTCATTGCATTGGCTCTCCCGGGACCCCCGTGGGAGGGGTTGTTGTCATTATGTCAGTGATGGCACAGAGGCTTGGGAAGTAAGTCATTTGCCCACAGTCAGCATGGCTTAAAAGGGGAAGCTGAGCCGAAACCGGTGTGGCTCAGTGGATAGAGTGTCGGCCTGTGAACTGAAGGGTCCCGGGTTCGATTTTGCTCAGGGGCATGTACCTTGGTTGCGGACACATCCCCAGGGAGGAGTGTGCAAGAGGCAGCTGGTCGGTGTTTCTCATCAATGTTTCTAACTCTCTGTCTCTCTCCCTTCCTCTTTGTAAAAAAAAAATCAATAAAATATATTTTTTTAAAAAGGGGAAGCTGAACTTTCAACAATAAAGAATTTGAATTAAATACAAGAAATAAGGGGAAGCTGAGATGTGAACCTGAGCCCTCAGATTCCAGCGCCTGTGTGGCCCCCCCTTTCCCCAAGCCAAGGTCTCAACCGTATGGTCTGTTGGCCAGACTCAGCCAATAAACATGTTTTCTTTGGCCTAACTTTATTTGTAAAAATGTGAATTAATTGAGAACTAATCCCATGTAAACATCCGGGATTCCAGCTTCTCTTGAAAATAAAATCCCCCAGTTTGGCAACCTTTGGTCACGGTCCCTGACAAAACCCATCTGGAGCCATTGGCGACAGTTTGTCTCAGACGAGTGGTGCGTTCGTTCCCAGTCTCCCCCAGGCCCTCTTCCCACACTATAGAGGCCTGCCAGGACCCCACAGACATTCTTTTAGGATTTTGTTTTTCTTTGGGGGGAAATTTTGCAAAATTCCAGAGTATTTAATATTGTGAACTCTCACGTGTTCCCCAGTGAGCCTCGGCAATGATGAGCATTTGATCCCATTGTCTCCCTTTGTGGTCTCTCTTTCTGGAGTGATTTCAATCCCATGGCCTAGCCGGTGTGGTTCAATGGTTAGAGAGTGAGCCCACACACCCGGAAGGTCTCAGGTTCAATTCCTGGTCAAGGGCATGTATCTGGGTTTCAGGTTCGGTCCCCGTCCTCCGCCTGAGCCCACATAGGAGGCAACAGTCAATGTGTCTCTCTCGCATGGATGTCTCCTTCTCTTTCTCTCTCTCTCCCCCCTTCTTCTCCCCCCATACCTGCCCCTTCCACTCTCTCTAAGAATTAGTGGAAAAAATAACCTCCAGTGAGGATCAACAACAAAAATTAAATCCCAGGGGTCATAGTATTTTCTCATAAATAGTTGATTCCTCGTTTCTAACACATAAGATCTCCTGTAACATAACCACCCTGCCATTGGCACACTCAACGTTAAGTCATTCTTTATTTTTTTTAATATATTTTATTGATTTTTTTTTTTTATACAGAGAAGAAGAGAGCAGGATAGAGATCCAGAAACATTGGTGAGAGAGAAACAATGATCAGCTGCCTCTTGCACATCCCACTGGGGATGTGCCCGCAAACAAGGCACATGCCCCCTGACCGGAATCGAACCTGGGAACCTTTGAGTCTGCAGGCCGGCGCTCTATCCACTGAGCCACACCGGTCAGGGCAAGTCATTCTTTAATATTATCTGATGCCCAGCTCGTGTTCAGATACCTTCAACTGTGTCAGAGTGTCTTTCTCCCACCCCCACCCCCGGCCTCTGGAGTGGTTTGAATTAGGAACTTCCTGTTGACCATTTGACTTCAAAGGAAAATGAGGAGAGGGGCCGGTTGGCAGGGGAAGAGAAAAGACAGGAGACTGAGGCACGGGGTTGGGGGGTATGGTGCTAAGAGAAGAGTGTGGAAGGCAAAAGGAGGAAGCGTGCCATGGATTTAGCAAGGATTTGGGGAAGATGGGCCGAAACCGGTTTGGCTCAGCGGTTAGAGCATCCACCTGCGGACTGAAGGGTCCCGGGTTCGATTCCGGTCAAGGGCATGTACGTTGGTTGCGTGCACATCCCTGGTAGGGGGTGTGCAGGAGGCAGCTGGTCGATGTTTCTCTCTCATCGACGTTTCTAGCTCTCTATCTCTCTCCCTTACTCTCTGTAAAAAATCAATAAAATATATTTTAAAAAAAAAATGGGGTTTGGGGAAGACGGGACCTGGGACAGAGAAACGAGGAGCTGCAGTAAAATTAACAGGAAGTTACAAGTGGAGCTGCTGTGACTCTCTGACAAGGAAGTCATGCTCTCCGCTCTGGGAGGTGAGGGCTGTCATCGCCGCCACCTTCCAGATGGTTCGCTTAGCGGAGGCCGTGGCTGCACCGTGCGTGAGTACCAGAGCCAGGATCCAAACCCCGGCCGCGGTCCCACACTGGGCGTCCCTCTGCAAAGCCCGTATGCCATGCCTTGGGCTCGGTTAGAGGTGCCACGGCCCAATAAACTGCGCCTGGCAGGGCGGCGTCCAGTCTATTTTGGGGGTGGGGGGTCCCGCCCTCACTCCCCAAGTGCTGACAGCTGAGGCGGAGGGAACACAGGAACCGCCTGGCTCTGGAGCCACACGGTCCCGTGGGCATTGCCTCCAGGGCCCTGGCAGGGGTCTCAGATGCACAAACAAAAACGTGCGCCCGCACGACTCTGCCAGCACAAACCACAATAGCCAGAGAGCGGAAAGGACCCGCATGCCCATCCCCTGGTGACTAGCTAAACAGAATGTCCATCCAGATAATGACCACATGGCCATTAAAAAAAAAAATGAGGTGCCAATACAGGATATCGCATGGCTGGGCCTTGAAAACGCCAATCATAACATTAAAAAAAAAGAAAAAAGAAGAAACCATGCCAAGTGAAAGAAGCCAGCCACAAAAAGCCACTTAGTGTGGGATTCCATGTACGGGAACTGCCCAGAATAGCACTGAGACAGAAGGCAGATTAGGCCTTGGACACAGGGGAAGGGAGAGCGACTGCTTAATGGCTGTGGAGCTGTCCTTTGGGGACGATGAAACGTTCTGGAATCAGAAAGTGGTAATAGTTGCACGTTATTGTGAATTTACTAGATGCCCCTGCATTGTACACTTT